AACTTGACATACAGACCATCCCCCAGCACAGCCAAGTGCAGGCCATCTCAAACACCTGCACTCAGGCCCATGGTCCTAATCATCCTCTATACGGACCTGCTGGGTAACGCCACAAAGAACCTGAGAATGGGCTCCCACAGGACCTACAGAACATCCCACAGCAGGTTTATTTTAATGCTTTTATTTATATGGATATGAACCAGCAATGGTTAAGGAAAGGGACAACATATGGGAGGGGATGGGCATGGGAGGTGTAGGAGGAAGGAGGTGGAAAGGGAGATGATATATTTTAACTAAGTTAAAAAAGAAACTTTTAACTTTATCAAATATGAAATTGATAAATTATGCTATATACATCAAAGTGTGTATAACCTGATGATTTTATCTTCACATTTTCATTTGTGACCCCACAAATATGTTTACTATTGAGACAGCCAAAGTTGTGATAGGGTGGGTGTATAAGGTAAGAGCATGATAATTTGGAAGCAGACACCATCATGTTTAATTATAGACTACATTAATAAAACATTATGAATCATGAAAATAATATTGTTTTATTTATATATTTTGTATATATTTATATAATGTATATATAAATTCAAAAATCACAATGTTTATACAACATTTACTCAAATGTCTGAAATAAATATTAACAAAATATACAGGTTGGACTAAGATCGTTTTGTCTCTAACCTCCACAGTATCTTTGCATATCTTAGAAAAGTGTGTCATTTCTTTGAGATTTCATTCTTTGGAGGGCAGGTTTGGCAACCTACTGGAACCTTTGTGAAATTCAGTGTAGTGTATGTCCTTAGCTGTTGCATCTTTGCACTGGAATTTGTAGCTGAGAGGTTAAGTGCAGATGCCAGATTTAGCTTGCTCTGTTTCCCGGGTGTTCTTATAATGAATAACTTGAATAACTTGTGTAACACTCAACTGTGTCTCAACTTATACACCATGTATATCTGTTAACAAATTTCTTCTAGATAAACACAGTATTTTTTATGAAGGGACTTTCTATTGACTACATTTCATTGTTCAAATTTAAATTTGCAGTAGAGACACCTTTCAAAAATAAAGAAGTCTCAAGTTCTCTATTTTAGGACCATGTTGCCATAGACCTACTCCTCTCTATAATCATAGAAGCATATTCTAAATTCTAGAGGTAGTCAAACAATTTCAAAGTCATATCTATGAAGACAGTAAGAACAGATATCCCAAACTGATTATAATATTCTTTGCATAATGATTTCAGATATCAAGAGATGGAATTCATTCTTAACTTGACAAAACTGAGAAAAGACACATTAATTGAGAATCTGGAGTTTAGCCAGTCTTGCTCTGGGCCCAGGCCTCAGTGCATGCGGGTGCCCGGCCAGCTGCAGGCCATGGGTAAAGTGGGCACCATAGGGTGTAACCGACCCTTCCCTGGGGCGCCACGGCGGCGCTGGTGGAAGCAGCAACATCAACGACAGCGACAGCCACTCTGGTGGCCAGGCTGTGGTGACAGTGAGGGTGAGGTCGAGTGCCACACCTCCATGGGCCTAGCTGAGCTTCAGAAGAACGTACTTGCTGGGCAGTCAAAAATTGACACCAACATGAGTCCGAAGAAATGCCCTAAAATGCGTTCCCCACCTCAGGAAGACACAGTTGCATGTCACAAGGTCAAATGCCTGAGAAAACCATTAGCTCGAATCTATAGCAAAGGAGAAAAGAAAAAAAATGCTGCGAATGTGATCCGAAGTGCCGTGAAATCCAATAAGCAGAAGATCAAAAATGCCAAGAGAGGTTCCCTGGGACTTTTTCCGAATATAAAATTGAAGGCAGCAGAACCTCCAAAACTTCCATTCCCATCATGTCATTCTACCAAGGCAGTGGTTGCAAAGCAGGCCCTGAAAAAGTCCCTCAAGATCAAGCAGTTTTCTGGGAAAAAGTTTCAAGGGAAAAGGCAACAGAATAAAAAACTTAAAGCTTTCTACCAGGTCCGGAGGAGCTCTAGGAAGTGCAAAGCTGAGCTGCAGTCTGAAGAAAGGAAACAAATAGATGAGCTAATTGAGAGCGGGAAGGAAGAAGGCATGAAGATTGATCTCATTGATGGCAAAGGCAGGGGTGTGATTGCCACCAAACGGTTCTCCCGGGGAGATTTCATAGTAGAATACCACGGAGACCTCATTGATATAACCGATGCCAAGAAGAGGGAGGCTCGATATGCACAAGACCCCTCCACAGGCTGTTACATGTACTATTTTCAATATCTGAACAAAACCTACTGTGTGGATGCCACTCGAGAAACAAATCGCTTGGGGAGACTGATCAATCACAGTAAATGTGGCAATTGCCAAACTAAGCTACATGCCATCAGTGGCGTGCCTCACCTCATCCTCATCGCCTCCAGAGACATTGCAGTTGGGGAAGAGCTCCTGTATGACTATGGCGACCGTAGCAAGGCCTCCATCAAAGCCTACCCTTGGCTGAAGTATTAACCATGCTGTCTCCCAGCCTCCCTGCCACCCTGCCTCCTTCAAAGGACAAAGTGCCCTCAAAGGGAAATGATTTTTTTAAACACATATTTATTCTTAGCTAATTACTTCAAATGTTTTTAAAATGTATATTAAAGATAATTTTTCAAGTAGTATTTAAATATCTGTTACAAGTTTCCAAGGTGGACTTGAGCAGATGGCCTTATATTACCCAAACTTCTATATCCTAGTTGTTTTTGTACGTTTTTACATACAAGTTGAACATTTGTGTTTCCCCGCACAGTCTAAGACTCAGCACTGGTTTCAGAAAATGGAATCAAACATGAATTAGGAAGCTGGTTTCTGTCCAAGATGAAAGCTAGGACTTCTGCCTCACCCTACATCCAAGGACAGGTGGAGGGAGGGTCCTGCCAGCTCCACGGATGTCTCCAAGCTCATGTTCTCAGCAACTTGACAAGCATGCACATTGAGTGTATGCATAGTTTTCAACAAAAGTTTCGCAGTAAGCTAGTCTTTCCTTCTGCTTTCTCCAAAGATTACTGAGCCAGGGCTTGGAGGCCTGGCCAAGAACAGATCTCTTCTACTGGCTCCTAGCTTTTCTAGGCACCTCAAAGCCTCAGTGTGAGCAGTCAGACTAGAGGGGGCTTGGAAAAGTACTGTTCTCCTGCCTGCCGGGGCAGGTTTTCTGAAACTACTTTAATTCTTTATATAAATGTGAACTCCAAATTTATTTTTAAAAGAAATCTAGAGTTAAGATTTAAATAAATTTCATCCTGTAATTTACCATATAGTTGATTAGTTTAAGTTTCTTTATCTTTCTGAGTTACTTGTGATGAAGGTTTTTACTTGTAAATAAAGATAATTCTGACTATGGACAGCAGTTACAAACATTACATAAGAATCTATATAAAGAGGTGGCAGGTTGTATTCAATCAAGAAAGGCAGTTCTTCTAATTGACCAGGGATATATGGTCTTAACCAGCCAACATTCAATATGTTTCATAGTGTCCTGTGCAGGGGTGGGAGGGGGTGGGGAGGTGAGGAGGGGTGGTGTGTGGGGTGGGGGCACACAGACTACTCACCACCCCCACATTTCTCCATAGTGCTTTTGAGTGAGAGTAGTAGGAAATATTAGAAGGATTTAGAGTATGGAGATAAACAGATAGAAAATACAGGATAATCTTGAGAAGGCCTGGAACTTATTCCAACAGGCCCCACTGTCTCTGCCCTAGGGTATTTATAGAAATGCCAAGGGGTGGGGCAAAAGATCACCCCTAGCACAGCCACATGCAGACCAACTCAAACACCTACACTCAGGCCCATGGTCCAATCATCCTCTCTATGTGGACCTGCTGGGTAAAGCCACTTGGAAACGTGAAAATGGGCTCCCACAGCCCTGAAAATGGGCTCCCACAGCCCTGTATGAGCACATTCTGATCTTTTCTGCACATGATTTGCTAACGCTTTATCATGCTATGAAAATAATAACAGAGGCCAACGTAAGTATCCCTGAAGAGAAATAGATGACTTGCTTAGCTTTGGAAGCATGGTGTCAATTTGAAGGTTTGCCTTTAAAAGAGTAACATATATAACTGGGTATCAGACTTCAAACACCATGCTCTTTTGTGAACTATGAGCATTATAAAATTGCAGCTTCAAATTTTAAAGAGTGTTTTTTTTATATCTGCCACCAATACATCATGGTGTTATGCTTCCAGGAGCCCTGATTGTTGCGTAAACATTAAGCTCTGTCTTTGCTACATTCTCTTCACCGAGAGTCAGGCACACAAGGAGGTTAAGTGATTTGCCCAAGGCAATGTGTTATGCCAGTAACAGTATTGGGAATTGAACCAGCAGTCAAGCACTCAGGTAATGTGAAACCTAGATGATAAAGTCCTTTTGTTGTTCCTAGGTTTGTTTCTTACCCCATTTCTCTTTGCACTAAGATGTCAACTATACTCTTTCCCTTTATGATCTGGTTCAATGTTTGTATGGCTCTACTAAATCACTGAGGCTTATTGTAGATGAGAGAGTTGGAGACTGTATTTATACAGTAAAAACAAATGGAACTGAGAGTCAGCTCATCACGCAGTCTATGAGTCTTTCACAATATGATAAAAACTACAATAAATAAGGCTGGTGACTGTATGACAAAGAGTCACTTTTTTTTCTGGTGAGTGATCACTTTTGTACTTCTCTTTCCTGAACGTTACTTTGAGGAGGGATTGTGATAGAAAAATGATTTCTCTCAATCAGCAGCTGAATAATAAGGGGTTCTATTTTCTGTCAGATACTGTGATTAGAAAAGAAATTGACACAATGTGAGTATAGTTCAATGTTATGTGCCAATAATAATTGAGTAAATTAGTCAGTACCATTTTTTTCTAACCTTCCCTTTAGTGAGGTGGGAAAATGATTTGGAAAACAATCTGGTAGTAAAATAAATAACTAACACACTCAAACAGTCACACCTCTTCATTTTACTGACTTTTTCTTTCTCGCTTTTTTATTTTTATTTTTTAGACAGTTTCTGGCAAGCCTGGAACTCACTATGTAGTCAAGGCTATCCTTAAACTTACAGTGATTTTCCTATAGCTTCCTTCAAGTTGTGGGACATGACCAACCACAATATTGATAACCAATATAATATGCTATGTTGTGGAAATTTGTTCCATTCATCCAATGGCTTTGGGATATAGAATAGAAATTTGAAATAGAATAAAGGAGATAGATAGGATAGGATAATAAGGTAGGTTATTATATCTACTTGTAAATCAAAAAAGCAACTATGAGTTTTAGATAATTTGCACTGGTATGGATTTGTGGTGAAATTTTATTTGCGCTTTAACAAATAAAGCTTGCCTGGGGATTAGAGGACAAAGCCAGCCACTATATTAAACATAGAGGTCAGGCAGTGGTAGCACAAGCCTTTAATTCTAGCATTCTGGAGGCAGAGAGTCATTCAGATCTCTGTGAGTTCAAGGCCACACTGAGAACAGAGCCAAAAATGTTGGCAAATGCCTTTAACCCCAGCACTTGTTAACAGCAGAGGTCTAGAGGTCTGTACAGATAGACAGGAAGTGCTAAAGCAGGGTGGGAAGAGGAAGTGATGTAGCTGGGTAGAGAGAAGATGTAAGATGGCAGAGTACAGAATGGTGTATAAGTCATGAGTATACAGGAAGTAGCTGTGTTGGGCTGAGGATTTCCTAGAGGTAAGAACGTGTGGCTGGCTTGTTCTATACTTCTGATCTTTCAGCTTTCACCCCAATATCTGGCTCTGGGATTTTTATTAATCAGACTGGTTAGCAATTCATGTTACATGGATTCTTGTATATTGATATGAATATAAAGTTATTTTTCTTTTCCTGTTTAAGATAATTTCTATATTGTTACAAATTCAAAATTATATATATATATATATATATATATATATATATACTTTTGTGTGGTGATATATTCGTGTACCCTAATAAAGCTTAACTTGGATAAGAGGACAGAGTCAACCACTAAATTAGACAAAGAGGTCAGGCAGTGGCACACTTTTAATGCTATGACTTGGGAGGCAGAGATCCATCTGGATCTCTATGAATTCAAGGCCACACTGGGCTACATGAGAGAAACAGAATCAGGCAGTGGTGACACACAACTTTAATCCCAGGAAGTAATATGTCAGGACACAGAAATGTGTACAAGGTGTGAGGAAACAGGAACTCTTTTGAGGTTGAGGATTTCATAGAGGTAAGCTAGTGGCTGGCTGTTCTGTTTCTCTGATCTTTCAGCTTTCATCCCAATATATGGCACTGGGATTTTTATTATAAGACATTTTAAAATTTGTGTTACATTTCTGTTTAAAATATTTTTTTGTATATTGATACAATAGTAAAATTGTATTTGTCATGCTAGATATATGTTCTACTTCTGTTTATAATATTTTGAATATTGATACTAATTAAGGATATTTTTGTCATATTGCACTATACATTTCTACCTCTGATTAAGATATTTTTATAGATTGTTACATATTTGAGGTCATTGTCCTTATCCTGTACATCTGTTTACAGATTGTTTACATTTATAATGTGAAGCCTTAGTCTTTAAGATATATAGGTTTATAAGAATTACAGGGTAATAGTCACCCATGCTTGTCAAACTTATATTTATTGTAGTTAGGTTTTTAGATAAAAAGAAAGTGCTGTGGGATAATGTTTTTGTATACCGCTTTAATAAAATCCTGATTGGCAGGTAGACAGGTAGGAAGTATAGATGGGATAAGCAGACAAGGAGAATTCTGGGAAGAGGAAAGCTGAGTCAGGAGACGCCAGCCCATCATCCAGGGAGCAACACAGGTAAAGCAACAGAACACATGGCAACATATAGATTAACAGAAATAGGCTGAGTTTAAGTGTAAAAGCTAGTCATTGGTGAGCCTGAGCTAATGGCAAGCAGTTAATTTTTTTTAATTTTGAAGTAAAGATACCATATATATATATATATATATATATATATATATATATATATTGGTTTAACTCAGCAGCCTGAGTTAAATACAATCTAATATCTCTCTCCAGTTAAAAATTACAAGACATCATAATCCAGACTCTCTGTGTAATTTCCATCTTTACATGGCTTATTATGTTTTTTTCTTTTCTAATTCCTTTTCTTTTCTTTTTTATTTTATTTTATTTTACAATAGTATTCAGTTCTACATAACAGCCACAGATTCCCTTGTTCTCCCCCTTCCTGCCCCCTCCCCTTTCCCCCAGTCCACCCCCCATTCCCACCTCCTCCAGAGCAAGGTCTCCCCCGAGGGCTGAGATCGAACCTCTGTGTGTTTACTTGGGTCTGAGCAGCTATGGACTGTGTGGGACACAGGAAAACATTTAGCTACAAGAGATATATTTCAGATAGTCTTCAAACACTTCAAAAAACCTAAAGAATATGGCATTTAAATGTTTTAATAACTTAGAATTCTGTTGATATGAGACAGGATTGCTAATGGCAACACTGATCTACTCCCAAAATGATGATGGATAACAAGGACACTCCATATGGAGTTTATCTTCCTCTTGGTAAAACTGGCCTATTGAGCAAAACCTGCCCTTGTCTCCACTGCTGACAGTAAGCACACTGTCCAATCCAGACAAGCAAGACACAAGGAAAAGCAACTGCTAAACCTTGCCAAGCCAGGGTAGGACAGTCTTTCAAATTTTTCTGCTTCTGAAAATGATCTGTCAGATATTCTCATCCATTAGCCAAAGTAGTATGCCCCCATGTTACAGAAAAACATTGGGTGACTGTCCACACAGCCAGCTGTTTCTGTCATTTCTTGCATTTTTTGAACTTGCTTATACTTTCTACTTATGCAGGAATTATTATTTTCCTTCTCGTGTCTTTGATGGAGTTCAAGACTAGATAGTTACAATTACAATCTTCTTATATCTTAGTGAAGAGCATATCAGGTACAAGACTTAGATTCTTCAGGATAGGAGAGCTATTGGATTAATCTCTGTAATTTGCCGATTACCGATGGTCTGGACATTTAATATATTTTTCTTGCTTGGTGGTGTTCCTGTTGGCTTTAGTTCCATTTTTTGTTTGTGTTAGTACCTTTTCTTTCTTCTTGACAATTCTTGA